AGGCCTCCTCAGCACCTCGGGCCCAGCCTGCCAAGCCTTTAGGAGAGCTGTGAGCACGGCTAAGAGAGGAGATGGGGGTATCCCTGCATCCTAGCTCCTCTGAGAGGCTGATTAGAGGCCCTCTCAACCACCCACTGACCCCCGTAAGGGCCTACCTTGCCAGCTGGCCACACCAGTTCCATATGCACCTTAGAGGAAACAAGAACACACAAGAGCTTTGTTTGCAGAACAAAGGCAAGTGAGACAACCCACCCCCCAGATGTTGAAGGACAGCTGTCACCTCATTCCACTACCCACAGGGCCAGAGCTGCAGGTGTCTGTGGCAGCACTCTGGGAGGCACTCTTGGTTGTCTATTAGGGCCAGGAAAGGCTGGGCCACTGGCAGTAAAACTAATTTCCTCCAGAGCACTCAGCTAAGCATAAACAGGGATTCCCTCTTAGGCAAGCCCAGTCTCCCCCATCAAAACAACAGGAAGGATGCTGCATCCTTCCCAGGAAGTTGATCCAGTATAGGCCACCACCAAGAGGTTAGCAGGCCAGGTGCCCAGGCAGAGCCCTTCTAAAGTGCCAAACACTCACCAAGATTTAGGGCTCAAGCACCACCAAAAACATGGAGAATATACCAGAGTGAAATCCTGTGTTCAACTCAACTGAGCAAGGGGACGGTATATGTCTGAGTGACATGGAAGGCCTCTTTCTGGGATGGGTAAAGAAGTGACCCTGTCCCCAGGGATGCTAGAGGCAAATCCCAGACTCAGAAAAAGGAAGCCATCGCCCCATCCCCTGGGACAGATGGTGCATAAAGCTGGCAACAAGAGCACATTCTGGTCCCTCAAGTGCACTCAGCACCATGACCTGAACTCCCAAGCAGGGTGAGCAAACAGGCTCCAGGCCAAATCTAGCCCATCACCAGTTGTACAGCTGCCCATAAGCTAAGAATGGGTTTTATGTTTTTAAATGGTTGAAGAAAAGGAAAAATTAAAAGGATATTTAGTGACATCAAAAACATCATTTATACACTTATCAAAACCCACAGAACTGCCCTGGCTGGTGCAGCTCAGTGGATTGAGCGCGGGCCTGCGAACCAGACAATCGCAGTTCAATTCCCAGTCAGGGCACATGCCTGGGTTGCAGGCCGGTTCCCTGCAGGCCAATTCCCAGCAGGGGACACACAAAAGGCAACCATACATTGATGTTTCTCTCCCTCTCTCTCCTTCCCTTCCCCTCTAAAGATAAATAAATAAAATCTTAAAAAAAAAAAAAAAACAACCCACAGAACTATATAATACAGACTAAATGCATGTATTTTTTTATTCTCACCCAAGAACACACTTATCGATTTTTAGAGAGAGGAGAAGGGAGGAGACAAAGAGGAAGAGAAACATCAACTGGTTGCCCCTTGTATGTTGTACCCTGTTTAGAGACTGAATCTACAACCCAGACCTGTGTTCTGACTGAGAATCAAACCCTGCAACCTTTTGGTTTACGGGACAACACTCCAACCAAGTTACATGGGGCAGGGCCAGAGTAAATATTAATGTAAATTATGGGTTACCATTCATAATAATGTATCAACACTGGCTTGTTAATTATAGTAAGTGTATCTTAACACAAGATGTTAATAATATGGAAAACTGTGTAGGAGTGAAGATATAGTGGGCATATGGAACTCTACATACTATCTATTCTATCTTGTAAATCTAAACCTACTAAGAAATAAAGTCTATTAATTTAAGAAACCTTTGATTATATAATCAGCTACTTACTTAGAATAAAACAACAGAAGTTGCTGAAACAGACTATTTTGTGATACATGAGAAATTATATGGTGCATAAATGCCAAACATTCTTCAGTAAACATTACTGGAAAACAGCCGTGTCTATTTGTTTATAAATTGTCCACAGTGGCTGCTGCACTACAAAGATCATGTAGCCTGAAGAGGTGAAAAAACTTACTATCTAGCTCTTTACAGAAAGGTTTCCTGGTCTCTGGGCTTCCCCCAACTTCTACCCCCCATGCTTCTCCAGGCTACAGGCCACTGTCCCCCCATGTAGCCCCTGGAACAGTTCTGTCAGTCTGATGCCTTGGGCTGGAGGTCCTGGGAGCCCCTGCCTCCCTGGAAAGCAAGTCCAACCTACCTTGGGTGTTGCTGGGTCCAGCACTCCATGCCCCATAGCCTGTGAAGAGAAGAACTGTGAGTTAGGATCCTGGGTGTCAGGCTAGAGAATAGGTGCTTCGGAGGTGCTCTGAAGAGCCTAAAGGGATATCTTCAAAGAAGCTCAGTGACAGCCTTCTAAGACAACAGCAGAACCACAACACTATCTCCCTAAAGGTCATCCCACAGCTAACTGATTGCATCATCATACCCCACCTGCCTGAGGTCAAAGCAGGGGAAAAAAAAAAAAAGGAAGAAGAATGGGCCCTGGGCTAGCTCTGGTCACTTCCTGAGAGACCTTGGCCTAAGTCTCAACCCCAAACTAAGGATGACACAGAAGAGCCACCAGTTAACCCAGCATTTAGGCACACTCCTATTCCCCCTCCTTGCCTCACCAACCAAGTAGCTATAAGTGAAGAAACTGGAATTTGGAGACAACTGTGCCTCTCCAGGCCTCACTTCCATGTGGCTTTGAACTCTCCAAAGCTCCTATGGGCCTTCAAGTCCCAGGGCTTCATCTGGCTCTAAGGCATCAGACTGTGCTCCCTTCTATGGTGACTCCCTTGCCCCTCCAGACCCCAATAACAGCATCTACCTGGTCCCTCTTCATCTCTGTGACCCTTGATGCGGTACAGAGCTGGGGACAGGCAGCCATCCACACTGTCAAATGACTTTACCTTAATGAAGCAAGAACACATCTGGTCTCCCTTACCTGAACAACCCAAACCACTAGCTGGGCCGATGAACAACATGTTAGCCAGTGTCACAGAATGCTGTTTAGAGACCAGGGAGCTAAGGCTCAGGTTCAGGGACTTGATCCAAAGTCACACTGAAGTTTGTCCTCTGCCAGGTACACTCTCCCCATGCCACACAGCTTCCACATCCACAGAGAAAGGCAGAGTGGGGGTTCTTAACAGCAAGTGACCAACTTCAGGGTATTAACCGCTTCACTGTAGGACACTGATCTAGCAAATGGCATATACTACTCACATAAATTCACAATATCCCTTAAATAGGTTACTATTTTTCCTTTGTAAAACGCTTGAGAGGCCAAGTCACTTGCCCAAAATCATGGAGCTGGGAATTAAGTCAGGAAGCAATTTTCAAGAGTCAGCAAGTCCTAGAAAATAACTACAGGTGGAAAAGCTACAGAAATAATCAGGGAAGCTGCAGCAACTAGACTGAGAATGAAAGGTTTTCAGCAGCTATGAAGTGGGGCGGGGTGGTGTGGGGCAACCTCTTCAAGCTAAGGTCCTGCATCAAGCAGGATTGATTACTGGCTGAAAGATCTGGTGGAGGCAAGCAAACAAGGAAGAGAACCAGTCGGGATGCAGAAAAGACCAGGAGAGTCAGGCTGAGCCACTCCAAGACCCCGGACACACCTATGCACTGCAGAACCACTCTGCTTCTGCAATTCCTGTGGCTTGGATGGTATTGTACTAATGCTGGCTGCCACCTCTCAAGGTAGACGCCTTCTCTAGCTGCTGTTTCCAAGATCAGATGGCCTGCTTCTCGAACGTCAAATACTTAGATAGAAATCTGTCCCTGGTCAAGCCAACTGTTCCTAAAGGGCAAACTCGACTCCAAACACACAGAGCAAACGCTTCCCAGGACACTAGTTCTTAAGACAAATAATAAGTCCCTAGAAGATCCGACCTGCCACACGCTCTACAACCCAAGTGGGGAAAGAACACATCCCCTCTTTACACAACCCTCTAGCACCTCCAGGCCACATTAAGGCGTTGCCTGGGTGAGAGCCACCAATCTGCCACCACTTCGAAGTACATCAGGTTTCCAGCTTTGCACAATACCCAGCATATGACCCTCAAGATCTCGTCCTAGGCCCGCACGAATCAGGTCCACGGCTGAGTCCCACAGAGGCCTCACCCGGCCCGGCCACACTGCACCGCGAAGCTGGTGGGGATGCCTCCAACCCAGTGCCGCCCGGACACTCCGGGCGGGAGCCCCTCGCCACGTACGACGCGTCAAGATCCCCAATGAGCTCCGCGGTTCCCGGGACAGGCCCGGCCGCCTGAGAAGAGGACTCAGAGCCCCACGAGCTCCAACAGTGACTCCACCCTCCCAGGCCGCCATTTTGTGGCGTCTTCCGAAGGGGAAGGCCGGCCCGAGCTGCACAGTCGGCAAGGAACTTAGCCCCGCTGGGGGGTGAGGAGTAGAAACGGCCCAGTCGGCACAAGGCGCCCTAGAAGCCCGCCGCAGCGTCGGGACGCCGAGTTCTGCCCGCCCCCTCAAGCGCCGCGGTCCAATCGTACGCAGCACCACATGAGCGATGGCGTTGCAGTCCAATGAGCGGCGTGCGCGCGCCCTGGCCGCCTCTCCGCACGGCCAGGCTGCAGTAACTGCATTCGGGCATAGGCCCTGGCCCTGTGGCCCTCTGTGCGGCGGCGTTTGTGGACAGGGACTGCCCGACCCACATTACACCAGACTGATCGTACGAACCTCCGTAGCCCTGCTCCATGTCTCAAGTTCGGTCCGCCAGCAGCCCCTTTTTCTAAGCTGCTACCAGACGCTTGCACTCAAAGCACCTCCCGCCGTCAGCTACTGGAAGACTAGACGCGTACGTAACTCTGCGTTTAGTACCATTGCCTGGCTCTCATGGTGGGCCCGCCCCCATCGCCCCAGCTGGTTGGTTGGCTCGGCACGCATGGCATCATGGGAGTTTGGGTCGGGCTGCAGGACCTCACTGTGCGCAGGCGCACACCTCGTCCTTCCCGTCCCTCCCCCGCCACCCAAAGCCCTCAAGCACGCAACAGCCCCCAGGCACTTGGGGGATGTCCTGACTTCCCCCTGCCACGGCACCGCCCACAGAAACAAGCCTGGAGGTGGGATGGGAGTAACTTTATTAAGTTCTTCCAGCCTCTGTTGCACGCCCTGCCCGCCTCTGACCCTGGTCACGGGGTGTCCCCGCTGCCCTCTTCCTCGTCATCATCCACGTCGAGGCCAGGGATACCACGGATTTGGCGCTGCAGCGCCCCGCCTAGCAAGGGCACGGCCTCCTCGTCTTCCTCCGGGGGTGGCGGCAGTTGGCCCGACACAGTTCCAGGAGTCGGCTCCGGGGGCACCGGGGGCTGCACTGGCGTGCTTTCAGTACCCTCAGTGTCCCCTGCTACTTCGACCATTGCCCCCTCATCCAGAACGCTGCCCTCAGCCTCCTCCTGTTCCTTCTCCTCCTCAGGGCTGTCAGTGAAGGGGTTCTCGCCCTGTGGAAGGACACAGATGGTGTTAGAGAAAGGACCCGCAGGACCAGGGCTGAGGACCAGGGACTGGGGATGCAGCTGGAGCCCACGCCAGGCACCCGTGCCTCACCTTCAGGTAGCTCTCCAGCTTCTTGCTGATGAGCTTGTTATTGAGAATACTGCGGGCCACCATGAGTGATGACTTCTTCGACTGCTCCATCATGAGCTGCGGGTAGGGCAGGCGGGGAAGGGTTGGAGAGGCTGCTCTGGGTGCGGAGATCCCCACCCTCCCAGATAGTGGGGCCCTCCTGCACACCTCCACCTGACTCCAACCAAATTTCTTAGGTTTTTAAGTGTACCTTGGGTACAAGCGTGCCGCCAGCCAACCCTTCAAGCATGGAGCCACTAACCGATTTTACCTCCGTTTTTCCACACCATACTTTTTATGCAGCTGATTAAAGACAAGTCTTTACAGTTGTGTTCCAGAAATCTGATTCACTTACATAAAAGCTATAAGCAGTGAACATATTTTAAAAACCTACTAATAGCTAAATGTGCAATCTGTAACAAAGAGCTGCCCTAATAAGCACAAACTCTTTAGGATGAATAAGGAGAATATAAAAAGATATAAATATGACAGTACATTTAAATGACACACATTCTTTTAATCAATAAGATTCCCAGGATGAAGAATTATACACTAATGGCAAGGTTGAAACTTGGCATTTTTACCCTGCTGGAAAGATGCTCAACTGTTTACTCGTATTTTCCGGAAAGCAGTTTGGTAGAAAGTATCAAAAGTAAAAATTCTGAGTACTGTAATTCCTTCCTGGAATCTATCTATCCTAAATTTAGGAATAGAATGGTGTGTGCAGTGGGTTGCAGTAATGAAACACTAGAAAGCACCTAAATGTTCTTCAGTGGAGAAGTAGTTAGACATCATACATTGAAAAGAACACCATGCAGCCCTTAAAATAGGGCTCATTTCTCTCTCCTGGCATGGTAATAAAGTTGTGTGATGGACTGTATAGTTGCCAGAGTCTTGCCTGGGAGGACTGACAACAAACGCTAGGTGATTTCCTCAGTGGTGAGATTACAGGCAAATCACACTTTAATCATTGCAAAGTAATGTATATGTAAAGCCATAAGCAGGAAAGTAACTGCTAAAGCTATTTTTGTTGGGGGAAACTCCACTTCCTGCATCCAGCTCTCTACATTACGTTTCACTTGCTGTTTCTACTCCCTTTATCTACCTTTGTCTTTTTTCTTTACACGTTCTGCCACTTGGGGAAAATATTAACAGAACTCATGCATACTCAAAATGAAACAAGTTAGAGATGCATGATTGGGACATAACAGACCACTTCCCCTGCCCAACTTTTTCACATGCCAACACAGTATCCTCCTCCCGGGAGGAGCACAGATGCACACAGGACAATGTCTCCCCAATGAGGTACATTTACATTCTTTCCAGATTTCTGCTACAATGACCAAACATCACCAGAATAAACATATACTTCTATGCTGGCGCTTTTAATTCTGTCAAACAGGTTCACCAGAGGCCATGTGCAGGAGTACTTTGCAAAAAAGTTGTAAAGCATGCTTCCTCCAACTGCACTAAAACAATGTACTTGTCTCTTGTGCCTCTGGGTCACCATCAGATGTTATTATCACTGTGGGATACTTCTGTGGCCTCCCATGGCATGTCCCTGCCCACTAGCAAATCAAAATGCTCTGAGATGCAGAGTGGCCACCCGCTCAGCACTTTTATGTGGCCTGGGTTTCCCCAACTTGCTTAGGAACGCTTCCTTTAAAACATCAAGGTAAACAAAATAATCTGTTTTGTTTCGGTTTTTTACATTTAAGATTTCTAGAATCTAATTACATAGTATGAGGTATGGGTCAACTTATCCTTCCAAAAATTTATAAGGTAAACCAGTTTCCACTAAAACCCCAAACTTTTCCCCTAAAACTCATTCGGTGGTAAAACATGAACTGACATTATGTTTTTGTACCATTTTTATTTGTCCCACTTACACACAAGTCACCTGAAGAATTACTGAGGGTTCAACTACAAGGAACTTTCCCAGATCCAAGGGACCATATCATGTGTTCTGAAATCCAAAAATTAATTAAAAAAGATCTGGCCGCAGGGTTTCAGATAAGGAACCTGTACCGATGTTGACAAAAACTAAGTTCTAAAACACAAAGGACCTTTCACTAGACTGATGCTGTTCTAGTTCCAGTTTTATTACTGTGCCAGTATCACTTTTTTCTTATTAATTGCTTTGCACTTAGTTGTATCTGCTTAAGCAAGAACCTGAACTCACTACTACTTTCTGTATAAACTACACTCTACAAATAAAACTGGAAAATAATTTTGGTCAGCCTCCTTCCCCAGACTTGGACTGGAATTGCACTGTGTTAATGTGGGGAACACTGGTTTTTGTTGTTTTTCTATTAAATCTCCCACCTAAGACTATACAGTCTGTTCCTCCAGGCACTGAGGTATTATTGGTCTGAAATTTAAGATCCCCTAACCTTCTTAAAGCTACATCCCTAGTTATTGTATGCATTTTGTGGTTATTGATACCCCACCCATTTACATTTCTAACTGGTTATTACAAGACTGGAGAAAAACTAGTACTTTTTGTATGTTATCTTAAATCTCAACCCAGTTGCCAAATTCAATAAGTTAAGAACACTTTGCTGGAATTATTAGCCTTTTCTGAGACTCATTTATTTGCATATAAAGTTTTCATTCCTAGTATCTTTATACTGGTAATGTTGCTTATTTCCTATTGAACCATCCTTGTATTCCAGAAACAAACTTACAGTGTATCACACATTCGAATCACTACTCAATTGATAATTACTAATATTTTATTTAGCACTTTTAAAAATCCTCTGCAGAGGATGAATTGCCTTCACAGAGAGGAGAGAGGAAGAGAGGGAAAGAGAAATGTCTTCTCATGTTTTCTGACTGTGGATTAAATCTACAATCTGGGCACATGCCCTAACTGGGAATCAAACCCATCACCATTTGATTTACAGAATGATGCTCCCCAGCCAGGGCACATTTATTCTTTCATAATAAACTAACTTACAGTTTCATCTTGGTGTTACCTTTATCAAATTTTTGGAATTAAGGTTAAAAAGGCTTCATAAAAATGAATTTGAGAATAGACTTCCAGCATGGCATCCTGAGAAGTTCTGCAGATTTATTTCTTAATCCTCCCCTTAAGATATGCTTTATTGATTTTAGAGAGAAAAAGGGAGGGAGAGAAACATCAATGTGAGAGGAACATCGATTAGTTGCCTCTTGCTGTGACCAGGGACCACCCACAATCTAGGTTATGTACACTGACCAGGAATTGAGCCCACAACCCTTCAATTTATAGGACAACACTCCAACCAACTGAGCCACACTGGCCAGGGCAAGTTGTGTTGGTTTAACAATGACCTGTAGCTTTTCTGCTTCTCAGCTCAGCATGATGGAAACTCCACTACAGCTAGCATCACCCAAAACACAGGCCTCCTTTTCTACCCAGCTCATTACAATTAAGGACTGTATCTTCCCAGGAGGGACAGGATGTGAACATCTAACTATCTGTTGCTGAGGCTAAGTTTTGGGCAAGTTCAGTATAAAGGTGGGTGCTCCCTTATTCTATCCAGTTCCCCATGGAATGGAGGCTGGGTTGGACATGACATGCTAACAATACTGGCTTTTTCATAAAGCAGAGATCCGATGCTGAAAGAGCATGGCAAGCCAAACCGAGAATACCAGAAGCTACAGCTGTCTCTCCATTCATCTCTTCTAAAGCAGCAAAGTCACTCAAAGAGAAGTATTCCACTGTCCCCAACCCCAATTCTGGAGTTTAGACTCAAAGATTTTGCCCAGGGAGAAAGGAAGGCCTGAGAACAATAAACTTACAAATCTCGTCCCAAAGGAACATACTTCATTTGCAGGAGTGTGGGGAAGTTCAAGACTAACAGCACTCTCAAAACTGTGGACTGTGTGGAGAAAATTAAAAGGAGACAGGTAGATTGACAGCAATATAAACTAAACCATTGGCTGGCTTGGCTGGGTTACCAGAGAGGCCAAGTGAAACAGCTAAGAATAAGTGAGTTCACAATAAAGCTCAAACAATGACCTTAAAAATGATCCATGTAAAGTAGCCCAAATTTACTTAGATCAGATTGGGGAGTAATTTCATGACTCAAGGCGTTGTTGAGAACAATAGATAAATCAGCCAACTATTTGTGGAGCTTAACAGCTAAGTGTAAGTCTGGAAAAGAAACAGTCAAAGACAGCCCTATCAAACCATTGTTATCCCAGGATGGCTGTACACTTGCCTATCTATGGCTTCTTCTTCCAAGGCACTATCAGAGGCTTTACACTGTGGGGATGAAAGAAATTTCACTAAAATAATTTTTTAAAGACTTTATTTATTTTAGAGAGGGGCAGGGAGGGAGAAAGAGAGGGAGAGAAACATTGATGTGTGAGAGGTACATCGTAGATTGGTTGCCTCTTACACGCCGGAACTGGGGACCTGGCCTGTGACCCAGGCATGTACCCTGACTGGGAATCAAACCAGTGACCTTTGGTTTCGCAGATCAGCACTCAATCCACTGAGCCACACCAGCCACGGCACGCTAAAACAATCTGACAAGGCAACTAAACAAACAGACAAGCAAATATATAGTAACAAGGCTTGGGGGGAAAGGAAGAAGAAAAGACGTAATGACACTGTCTCACCAAATAGAAATCAATGAAAGGATATTTTAAGAAAATGAATAAAAATCTTGGAGCTGAAAAATACAACAATGGAAATGAAAAATTCCCTAAAGAGTCTTCACAGATTTGAACTGGCAGAAAATTTAGCAAATGTGTAGATAGGCAGAGATCATACAATCTGAAAAACAGAGAAAAAGAGTAAAGAAAAATGAATAGTCAGTCTCAGACACCCTCGACACCATGAAGTCACCCAACTATGCATAATGGAAACACCAGAAAAAAGAGAAAGGAGGAGAAAAATTATCTGAATAATGGCTAAAAACTTCACAAATCTGATGCAAAACTTTACTACATCCAAGAAGCTCAACAAAACTCCAAACAGATAAACACAGAGATCCACAAAGACACATCATAATAAAAATCTTGAAAGCAACAAAAGAAAAATCAATCATCACTTTTTAAAAGGGAACCCCAATAAGGTTAAAAAA